GTCTCCGAGCCAAAAGAAAAAGCAAGACAACCCGGTTGACCTCTATAAAAACCGTTACTATGCGTCTACTTCAGCTCTAACTCCAGCACACTTCTATTTTTTTTCGTCAGTAAGGTTGGTCCAAATGATCATCGGAAAGAGTTGAGTCAGATAACTTCTATAGTTTCTTTATGCCAATAATTATATAATATAAAATTTATAAATTTATTTTAAAAAAATAGGTTGGAATAAAAAATATAAAACTACAACTGTAATTTATCAATTATAAAAAAATAGCTAAAATTGTCAATATAGTATTGTTATAAAGTGCTACTTTTTACTCAAATCAATTATTAGTTGCTCTATGAGAAATTATAGCACGAAAAAATACTGAAACTTTTGCATGTAAATATACATGGGACAATGCATGGGAAAGCAAGTTCATAGCACGTAAAAGGGTGCAGATTCTGTGTAACACTGCATGTATTAACGTGCATTTTCAAGTGTTTTATATGCATTGTCCTGTGTATTTTTGCAGTAATGTACAATAATGTACACAACATTCCATATAACTTATTTGTAAAAAAAATCATAGTGTATTTTTTCATATACAAATTATACTAATTAAAAAAATCTTATTAGATTATGAAAGACTATTTATTTTCTTTTATTTATTTAAAAAAAAATTTTTTATATAGATACATTCAAAAACAGCTAATATATATTTCACAGCTTGCTATGCTGCAGTTAATTATCTATCCGCAAGAATTAGATCACTAACTTAAGAAAGAAGAACTAGAACCTTTCCCAACTTCAATTGGCTATGATGAAAAAAAAATGTTTAGTTAAATTAAAGAAGAAAAAGATGAAATCCAAAAAGCAACTAAAAGTGGTTTTAAAGACGAAACTCTAACGAAGTACTAGAAATGATAAATGACGATTTAAAAGCAATAAATATTGGCTTCAATGATGATTCTAATAGTGATAGTTCCAAAGATGAAAAAAAAAAAAAAAGACATGTTAGTTATGCTTAAAACAAGAAAACTAAAGAAGCAAAAAGGAAAAAAAGACAAAGCAAAAAGGTGAAGGTGAAAAGAGAAAAAAACAAAATAAAAGAAAGAAAACAAAACAAAATGAAAGCAAAAAAAAAAAAGGTGTAATAAAAAGAAAGAGGAAAAGTAGAAAACAAAATAAAAAAAAGAAAGAAAAGAGAAATAAAAAAAGAGATAAAAAAAACCAAAAAAGTAAACAGAGATTGTTGATCATTAAGAATTTTAACGATACTTAGCTGAAATATTAAAAATTTTAATAATGCAATTATTGCATAGTTATAATATAATTTATATATAATTATTTGCATTGTTACTTTGCATTATACAATATATTATAAAAGCATAGTTTTATATTGCTACAATGCTATAACAATATATATATTATATTTATAAAATTATTAAAAAACTATCATAATAATATTAAAAAAATAATAAATATATAATTTAAATTTTAATTTATTGCTCTTTTCAATTTGCTGTGATCATAAAATGATTGACAATTATATGGAAATCTTCAAAATTTCAAAATTTAAAGCTTTTTTTGCAAATAAATCTAAATTTCTTGCTAACAAATAAAAATTTCCAAAATTTCTCTTCTATTTTCACTTTTTCAGCATTTTATCAACCAATATACAAAAGCTGGTTGTTTGTACGGCTAAATAATATGGGAAATTTTAAGCCTTTTCTTGTATTATATTTTAATTTTTTTTTTAACTTTGAACAAAGATATCTTGACAACCACCAAGTCAAATTTGATGAACCTTTCTTATTTGAATTCTACAAACCAGTAGAATTCAAATTAAAAAAAGTTTATTATATTTGGCTTTGTGGCTGTCGAGATCTTTTTTATCAAAGTTTAAAAAAAAATTGTGTCAAATTTTCTCAAAATTTAAACGAAGATATTTTATCAACCACAAAGTTAAATTCAATGAAGTTTTTTTTTTTTGAATTCTATGAATCTGTAGGATTCAAATAAAAAAATGCTTAGCAAATTTGGTTTGATAGTTGCCAAGATATCTTCACTCAAAGTTTTAAAAAATTCAACGTTTATCAAAAGCGATAAATTTCTCAACTTTGAATAAAAATATCTTATTAAGTATTAAACTAAATTCAATAACTATTTTTTTATTTTAATTCTACGAACATATAAAAAAAAAATTTATTAAAATTGAGTTGATGGTTGTCAAAATATATTCGCTAAAAGTTCAATAAAATTCTGTTGAATTTTTTTTTTAACTTTGAGCGAAGGTTTCTTGATAACCACCAGCCAAATTTAATGAACTTTTTTTTATTTGAATTCCATGAATCCATAGAATGCAAATAAAAAAGATTTGTTAAATTTTGCCTGGTGGGTGTCAAGATATCTTCGCTCAAAGATTAAAATATGATTATAAAATTGCCGATTTCCAGATTTTCAGATTTTCAGTGATGTGTAATCTACAAAATTTGATGATCACAGTAAATTGAAAAGAGCGATAATTTATAATAATTATACAATTTATATATTTATTTTTTACTTTTACTATACTATATATATATAAATTAATAATAAAATTACTAAAAAAAAAAGTTACTAAATTTAATACCAATAACAAAAGAAAATTACTTATTTAATAATACAAAAACAATAAAAAAACCCTCCAAATTTGATAACACCAACAACAAAGAAAACTACCTTATTTAACAACATCAATTATAAAAGAAGAACCACCAAATTCGACAATACTAACGATGAAAAAAAAACCTCTGACTTCAACAAAACAAACCAACGATGAAAGAAGAACCTCTGAATTTGATAACACCAACAATGAAAGAAAACTTCTGAATTTGATGACACTATTAACAAAAGAAGAACCACCTTATTCAACAAAACTAACTACAAAAAAACAACAAACCTCCAAATTCGATGATACTAACAATGAAAATTCAACAACACCGACGAAAGAAAAACCTCCGAATTCGATGACATCACTGACGAAAGAAAAACCTCCTAATTTGATGACATTATAACAAAAGAAGAACTACCTTATTCAACAAAACCAACTACAAAAGAAGAACAACAAACCTCCAAATTTGATGACACTAAAAATGAAAATTCAACAATACTGACAAAAGAAAAACCTCTGAATTTGACAACACCAACAACGAAAGAAGAACCTCCAAATTTGACAACACTATTAACAAAAGAAGAACCACCTTATTCAATGAAACCAACTGCAAAAGAAGAACAAAGAAAGAAGAACCTCCGAATTTGATGACACCAACAATAAAAGAAAACCTACTGATTTGACAACATCAAGGATGAAAGAAGAACCTCTGAATTCAATGACACCAACGACGAAAGAAAACCCACTGTTTCAACAACACCAACGACGAAAAAAACCCCACCAATTTGATGACACCAACGACAAAAGAAACCCCACCAATTCGACGACACCAATGACGAAGGAAAACCCATCAATTTGACGATACTAATGACGAACCAAGCACTAGCACCAACACCAACAATGATAGTTCTGAAATTACATCTATGAGATAAAAAAGAAAACTAATTTTAATATGAAGAATAAACAAAAAACAAAAAATGTAGAATATAAGAAAAAAAAAAAAAAAAAAAAAAAAAAAAAAAAAAAAAAAAAAAAAAAAAAAAAAAAAAAAAAAAAAAAAAAAA